CTCGGTGCTTGTCTATTTTTGGTAAAAGAGTCAGGATAATCTTTGCAGGGCTTAAGGGTTAAAAGGACTAAGGTTCAGCCCTGAATTAACCACATGCTCACTACACAAACCGCGGAAGGTGTTTCACTGCTCGAAGCCTGTTTCTCATCTCCAAAGGGGGAGAAGAGTTGAGAGGGCGCCCTGAAGAGTACTGGCTCATAAAAAGTGCTTAGCACGGTGCCCACATGTCACTGTAAGTGACCAGCGGCCCTCCCCAGGGCTCCCACTTGCTTTTCACTGAGACCTCTGCAGGGTAGTTCCTGAAAGAAGCGGAGGGTGTGTCTCCTCTCTTCCTTATTGCAGTCGGCATGAGATAAGTTCATGTAATCTGCACCACGACAAAGCACGTCACCACCATCTGCCAGAGCTTCCGAGCAGGAGATCTGAGGTTGCTAGGAGAAAGTTTGCTTTGTGTATTTTCTTTTAAATTCTAGAGAGGGTATGAGGGAGGGTGGCTACATCTCTCTTTAGCAGTCCCAGTGAGTTGAATGCTAAAATACAACCTTTAATTCCTAAACTGTGTTTTATAATCACACTGTGCACACAGCAGACTCATTCCTTTGTCTGAAAGTCACTGAAACCTAAATAACACGCGGGCAAGACTTCTAATCTCATCTAGAATAGGGATGAGCTTCCTTTCAAATAGGCTTACAAGCAGTTACCTGAGCAGTGCGGATGTGTGCAGGGGGCTTCTCTAACAAGAAAAGGCAATGTCTAAGGCTTCAGTGCTTTGCAGCTTTAAATGCATTTGGAGTCAAAACTGAAAAGCAAAATTAACAGTAACAAAGAAGATTCATCCTCATGACATGCTTTCTTATTAAAAATGTTACTACCACAGGCAGAAATGGCACAGAAGGCAATAAGTTTTCAGCAATGTGAAAATACTTTGTTGTTTTCTAAAGAACTTAATTTTATTATTATTATTCTTTAATTCACCAGAGAGATATAGAGACACATACAGAGAAAAAGAGAGAGAGAGAGAGGGGGAAAGTGAGAAAGCAAGCCAGCAGGTCTGGGACTCAAACCACGGTCAGCCATGTGGGATTCCAGAGCCCTAACAGTATGCTACCTGCTGGCCCCTCCTTCCTGTTTTCTTCTTTCCTCCATTTTAGCTGGACTTCAGTCTTCGAACCCTTTCAGCCAACATGGGAGCACGCCTAATTCTCACCCCTGACCATCCTCCCAGGAGGGGCCTTCTTCACTACCTGGTGCTGGGCTTTACAAGGCTAGAAAAATGTTCTTTCCATTGTCTGCACAAGCTGCCTTCCCAAGACACCTGAGAGGACTGGCAAGAACTGAAAAGCCGAACAATCCCAAATCAAGGATATAGATTATGCACAGCTGGTGGGAACATGAACTGGCATAACCACTTTGAAAACAAGATGGTAGTATTATGTGGTAAAGACGTGGGTATGACTACCCCACTGTGCTGTAATTTCAGCCCCGGGCATAGGAGCAGCACTGCACATCTGATAGAGGCTCTACAGCACTCAGGCACTACTCAGGACTGGAGAGAAGGGTGAGCAACACCTGGACATTCAGAACTCTGCAACAATGGAGTACCTTCACTGTCCACCATGGTGGCTATACAGCACTTGAAATGTGGCTAATTCAACTGAAACGTTATTCCTATTTAGTTTTGATTTTACTGAGAGTTAACATATGGCTTCTGGCTATCCTGCAAGCCAGTACAAAGAGAAACTTGTGGACACATGCAGCAAGATTCAGTATAAGGGGCCAGGAGGTGGCGTAGTGGTTGGGATGCAGGACTCCCATATGGCCAACTGAGGTTAAAGTCCTGGACTCAGCGGCTTGAAAATTTCACCGGGCACATATGCTTGCGTACCCAAAATCCAGAAGAGGATAGAGGCAAAGGGACTAAGGTATGGCCATCACCCAGGGATGGAGGGTGGTCTTTCACTTTCACTCTCTCTGTCTCTCTCAAGTGAGCACCTACATTCTATGGCAAAAACCTAAAAACAAAACAAAACAAAACAAAAAACATGTACGAAAACGTTCATTTCAGCGCTGTTTGAAGTAGAGGGGGAGAAAAAAGACCCAAATGCACATCAATAAGAAAATGGATAAACTATGGCACATCATAAAATAGAATATCATACAGCAGTGAAAAATACATGAGCTCCATCTACAAGCATTATAGTAACTAAATCTTAAAAGTGCTGAGTCAGTGAAGAATTGAGAGTATGATCCATTTTTTATAAAACTCAAACACAAATATTACAAATATATTATTTGAAGATAAAACCACTAGTGGCTATAAAACTACAAAGAAAAACAAAAAATACACACACACACACACACACCACAAAGTGATAGTTATGGATGGAGGCAGTGGGGGTGGAGAGAACAATCCGGAACACGAAGCAGGTGCTTCCATAGTATGGCTGATGCTCTGCTCTATCCCTCTTTTTGTAACTTTTTCCTTTTCTTATTCATGATACAGCGTGTGCACCTGCTAGTGACAGGGACAGACACAGGCAGAGACACAGAGAGAGGCACACCCTCCAGAGAATCTGAGAACGCCACAGTCCCCTTCCTCCAGACAGTGAATCCAGCATACTTCAAGCTGACCAGACCAGAGATTTGAACCGCAGACGCCATGTGAGATCGTGTGTCTCTTGAGTGGTGCATTACTACTCTCCATGAACTGGCCCATCCCCCGTCCTTTTATGTTATGTTTCTTAAACGTATTCATTACATCCCTTACTATATGCTTACAAACAGCTCACGACAACAACAAAAAAAAAAAAAAAAAAAAAAAAACCAGTGAGGATATTTTGAGGCAGTCTCACTGCCTCCTGTATCTCCTCCACCAACATCCTGTCCCTGCACAGGCTGGGAGCCTGCGTGTGGAGAAGCCAGATTTGATTCCTCTCTGTGTCTCTGGTCCTCATTAGAGTACAGCAGCCCAGTACAGGCTTGACAAGTGCCTAGTGAACTGAACCCCAACCTGAGAAAACCCACAATCTCAATTGTTAACGCTTTTGTTTTCCAGATGTTAAAATTTTCCTATGGGGGCCGGCAGGTGGTGTGGTGTTTAAGAGTGCTGGACTCCCATGTGGCCAACTGCAGTTTGACTGCTGGACCTGGTGGCTTGCTTTCTCACTTTCTCTCTCTCTCGCTTCTTCTCTGGTCAAATTTTAAAATAAATAAATAAATAAAGTTAAATTAAAATAATAATAATAATAATTCTTTTTTAAAAACTTTCCTATGCAAGGCCAACAGGTGGTGTGGTCATAAAGGTGCTAGACTCCTATGTGGCCAAGCACAGTTCAAGCCCCAGACCCAGCAGTTTGAAAATCATGTCAGGTGCCTGTGCGTGCATACCCCAAATCCCAAGAGGTAAATAGAAGAGAAAGAACTGCGGTGTAGCCGTCACCCTGGGAACTGATTTCTCATCTTCCCTGTCTCTGTCTCTCTCCGGCGAATGCACAAACCCTGTGGCAAAACCTTAAAAAAAAAAAGGAAAAGAAAAAGAAAAAAAGAAACCTGTGCAGTAGCAATAATAATGTATTTCCTTCATTTGAGAATGCACTCCCCCTCAGTACATTCTAGCAGAGCTGAAAGTAAAATGAATGCCTTTTACAATTTAAGCTATCATTAGAAAGCACACTTCAATATCAGCAGCATGCTAGAATTGAGTGGAAACTCCACGAAGGAAGGACTGAGCCTCTTCTGTCCATTTCTCGATCCCTAGAGGCTGGCGCAGTGTCTGTCATATAGCAGAGCCTCCAGGATCCCTTGCTATACAAAGAAAAAGTCACCGCTCCTATTACTACAATGGTTATGGAGGCAGAAGGGACGGAGGGAAGAATCCGGAACACAAAGGCAGGCACTTCGACAGTGTGCTGATGCCATACTGTGTGTCTGGCTCTGCGCTAGAAACTTCACACAGAGCACTGAATGTACCCTGTGCAGTAACAGAGAGACCAAGAGTGAGCAAGGTGAAGTCACTTGTCCAGGAACACGAAACAAGCAGCTGAAATGGAAACTTACTGCAGCAGCTGAGACAGGATTCAAATCTCCTCTACTAGACTGCAAAGTCCATACTCTTACACATGACACCATTCCTCCACTTTTGAAAATAAACGTTTAAAAAAGATGCTGCATACAGTAGGTGAGCTCATATGAGCCCAGTCACATTGATGTATGAAGGCGACTTGAGCTATAACCGTAAGTCTCTCACTAGAATTCCCCCGGCTTTCCTCCACATCTACCTGCATCGAAATTACACGTCCCTGCCACCAACAGGTGCCATTTCTAGTGTCATCGATGTCTAAAGGGGCCAAAGTTAAATCTTCAAAGAGATTATCTTATAAAAGAAGCCTTGAAAGTCTATTGGATCCCATCTCTAACCAAGTGCCGCACATTCCCAACCCCATTTGAATGGCAGCTTAGGCCTTCAGAGACCACTTAAGTTCTAACAAGGAAGGGTTGGAAACAGAGACCAAAAATCAGGGCTCCTATCCCCTGGGCTTTTTTTTTTTCTTTTCTTTTCTTTTCTTTTCTTTTTTGGAGAGGTTTTTGCTATAGGGCACGTGCCAGACAGACAGAGAGGGACAGAGAGACAGAAAGCAAGAAATCACTCCCCAGAGGGGATGGCCACGCCACAATCCTTTCTCCTCCATTCTCCTCTAGGGATCTTGGGCACGCACACAAACGCGCCCAGCGTGAGTTTAAGTCACCAGGTCCGAGACGTGAACCTCGGTCAACTACATGGGAGTCCAGCGACATAGCCATTATGCTAACTACTGGTCCCCTCCCCTGGCCTTTTTGTTTTCTTCAATACCTTGCCACAGAAGAAAGGCATTAAGATCTGCTAAGGTCCCTCTTCAGGAAGCCACACTAGGCTGAGTCCTCCATTATCCTGCCCATCCTAGTATCAATACCTCCACTTACAAGGTGAGAAGACTAAGGGCCAGAGGAATTAAGTCACTCACCACAGGTCAAACGCTTGGCATTTGGACTAGAAGCCAGAAGTGTTCCACCTCACCTTGCAGACCTGCAAGTTAAAGAAGTAACTGCATTAGAACAGAACTCCGCAAAGTGCTTTCCTGTTACTGAAAACAAAAGGGCAGGAATAAACTTCTGAAAATAAGAATATTGTTACATTACTCAAGCTTGAGTGTTCTCCCAGTATAGCATCTCAAGACTGGAGTTTGGGTAAATACCAGCAAGATAACCTCTAACCAACCATGAAGATGTCAGTCACTTTTAAAAGTCAACTCAAGACACAGCACTTCGTGAAATCCCTGGCTTTTGAGAAGTAAAACAGAATTACTTTTAAAATCTCCCATTTAGGTTAGAAAGAGAAATAGTCGAGACGCAATTCAATTTTGCCCGTTTTCTTTCTTTTTCCATGTCTCAAGCACATTATAGCTTATTTTGCCACAACTGGGATGAAGACTCCCCAGCCTTCCTCATTACCACATCCTCTGTCACGTAAAACAAGAAGTGACCATCTGAGAATCACTGTGTCTCAGAAGAAAAAATTCTGCATGACTTTAAGATATTATCATAACTATATTTATACCTTCTTAGTAGAAAATCCTATTCAATTTGGAGACTATTACTTTTAAGAATATTCTTTTTTAAAGATTTATTTCATTTTTGTCATTATTATTTCTTTTAATCTGATCAGAGGGAAAGAGAAAGTGAAAAAAGTAAACCGTCAAGTCCAGGTTTCGAACTGTGGTCCACCATTTGGCAGTCCAATGCCTTAACCATCAAGCCACTTAGATTACTTTTATTTCTAAAGCTTAAGCAAAACTATCTTGTGTTTCCAGTGAGAGTGGTACTTTCATTATGTATAAAAACTATCTTTACTTGGTCAAACAAATCTTAAGAAATTTAAATTTGTTTCTGAAAATAAAATGCTATGACCAATGGCTTCAACCAGATCATTTGGAACATTTTGGAAACCTTGTTTCTTTTTCTAAAAATGAACCGCCAACTACTTCACTAAAATAAAAAGTAGAGCAGGATGCTGGTCAACCACGTAGCCTTTTTTTTTTCTGCCTAGGGAATTTTATCTTCCTAACCTGCCTCTTGGATTTCTACACTATACTCAGCATGTGCCTACCTTCCGTGGGAGTCAGATAAGGTGTGGAAGAGGTCATTCATCTATTTTGCTTTAAAATATGTAACTCATCCCTTTGGCTTTTCTGATTTCTGATGCCCCTGCCTCCTCCCCCAGAGTAAAGTACAAAAGGAAAGAGCTTCTCGGTGATCTGCCCGCTAAAACACGGTGTCACTTTTACTAGTCCCTGCAATTAAGAGGGCCATGGATCCTCGTTGTATTTCACTTTCTTCCGAGAGTTAAACATCGGCTCGCTTGATGTTATCAAACCAGCAAACGAAAGGTTCTAGAAATAGCTTCCTATTTGTGGAAAGAGCCAGAAGACGCACAAAAATGGAAGAGAGCTCTGGAGTCGTCTTTCCCAAAGCATTCCCCGTGTGACTAATGCAAGCAAAATCCTGGAAGGCATAGCTATGACTCTAAGGTGCAGGATTTCCTCCTGGGGCTGATTTTAAAGGTAAAGTAAAATGGGATCAGTACGATGCCAGGGACGGCGATGGGCCGACAGCAAAGTTCACACGCTCCCGGAGCCCACGCAGCCTGCACGCGGCACCGCGCACCTGCACTAGCAGCGTCTCCGCCCGCTCCGCAGTGGGAGGGGACTCCTCTCCTCGCGGCCCAGCTGGCCCGTGTGCCCACTCCACACCTTAGCGAATGACTCAAAGTCCCACCTGCCCCCGGCCGTCCCAGCTCGTGACACTCCCGCGCCCGTCCGCGCACTTACGCGTCCGCACACACACGCGCGCGCACACGTGTCCGCACACACCCTCGCTCCGGCCCCGCCCAGGAGGCGAGACGCGCCGGGCACGGCCTCCGCCGGGTGGGTGGTGCCCGCGCCGCGGCCCCGCCAGTGCTGTCATCGCGGACGCCGAGCTCCGCGTCCTCCGCGCAAACTCCTCGCCGCCGCCGCGGTTCCCCCAAACGCCGAGGCCTCGCAGGCTCCCGTTGGGCGTGGAAGCGTCCGCGCCCCTGGCCGCAAGCTTGTCCCCGGAGCCCCAGGATTTAAATGGGGGCAGGGGAGGAGGAACACGGAGGGTCCTCCTTTTGACTTTCTGCGTCGCAATTCCTCCCGGGCTGCGGGCAGCCGAGAAGGGGCGGGGGCGCTCCCATTTCTAAGGCTTTTC